GGTTGGTCGGTTGGTAGGTTGGTAGGTTGGTAGGTTGGTAGGTTGGTAGGTTGGTAGGTTGGTAGGTTGGTAGGTTGGTAGGTCGGCAGGCAGGTAGGTCGGCAGGCAGATAGGTAGGCAGGTCGTTACGAAGGTAGGCAGGCTCGTAGGTGTAAGTGTAAGTTAAGTGAGTATAATATGAAAGCAGGTAGGGTAGGTAGGGTAGGTATTGTATGTATGTACTTTTGGTTGAAGGAAGAGTGAGCCGCTACACAGGACATGGACTTCTGGCCTTGACCATTCGTTGAAGCTTCAATCAGGGTGTTACGGTTGATGGACAAAATCCTGCATGACCTTATATACTTAAACTATGGGATTTATGGTACTATACTATATTTGGGTCATGCAGAATTTTGTCCATCAACAGTATTAAGGGCCTGTATAGCTGCATGTCTCTTCACGGCTCCCGAAAGTTGATAAGAGTATAAGGCCCCAGAGCCACGCCTAATCTCGGCCTCCATGTCATGTTATTATGTATGTACGGCTTGTTCCTGTAATTCACAGCTTTTCTTGAAATCCAAGCCCTGCACCTGTCCCTCAATGCATTTCTTGATCGGCCTCATCTGGTCCCTTAGTTGTCGATTATGTAATTATACCCTAAACCCTAAACCCTAAACCCCTAAACCCTAAACCCCTAAACCCTAAACCCCTAAACCTTTAAGGGGTTTAGGATTCTTCTTGTAGGATCCTGAGCATGCAGATTGGCAAAAGGGTTTCTTATGGTTCTTCGGTTAGGGCTTACCTATAGTCTCCTGCGTAGTTCCTTTTGGGGGCTACCTTCTAGGATCCTAAGTATAGAACTGGTTAAACCAAACAAAAGGTACTACAATGGAGACTATAGGTAGCCCTAACCCCCCAGGTACCTACTATATAGGGCCCTAGGGGCTCTAGTACCCTATATAGTAGGTCCCTGGGGGGTCAGGGTAGGGTTTAGAGTACCTCGGTTACCTTCTCCCCTACACCCAAAACCCTTCTTAACTGAGGGATGGTCCTACTGGTAACATTGAGTATGTGTCTCGGCTGCTGAAGGTATACGGGATCGTTCTTTCAGCGTCTTGGTCCAGGGAATTCGGGCTCATGGGGGTTTAGGTTCTAATGCGTTGCCTGGGGTGAAAGAGCTGGGTGGCAGCCCTAAAGCCTTCGGCTTTTCTTTGTTGACGGCTCAAAGTAAAGTGGGTAAAATCAACAGTGAAGGTATCAGATCGCTGAGTTTAGGCCTTAGCATTAGACGTGCGTTTTTAGGCGTAGCCCCACGGAACAGGTTCATGAAGTTTCATGGTTCGTGCCGATTCAACGGGCTCAGCAGACATGTAGCTCATGCTGGACACTTCACTGTGTAAGTATTCAGATGTAGGGGGTTTAAAACTTACACAGGGTCGAATGTTTTCCTGAGGCTTTGTCGGGTTCATGCTTTATGGGCTTAGGGCCTAGAAGATAGGCCAGTCTTTGGCATTCCAGGACTCTTAACGGTTGTTTGCTAGACTCAGGCACAGCAGGAACTTGTCCCCATGCTTTGTGAGCATAAGGTACGTGGCCCAGCCGGAAGTCGTTGATGTTTATGTTGCTCACAAGCTTCGTAGTTTCTTTGTTGCGCAAGCTTCAACGAGACTTTCCTGCTGCCTCTTTGGCCTTGCTCACAAGTTTCGTAGTTTCTTTCTTGGACAAGGTTGAACAATACTTTCCTCCTGCCTTTTGGCTTGGATGCAAACATAGACTTTAAACTCTAAACGTTAAACTGTAAACCTTGGTTTGGTTTCCTTGCTTTCCTAAGTGCATGATCCTCACCATGAGTTGGGTTGCCCCCTCAAGAAAGGTAAGACAGTTTAGCTTCGGCAACGCACAGGAGAAAATTACCGACGACGGCAACGGCACCGCCTGGTGGAACGAGCGTCACAACGAGGAACGTTGCAACTCCCGCAGCTTGCATTCTAATAGGACCCCAGAGAGTGTTTGTTTCAAACGGTCGCGGGGCAGAGATTTCGCAGTGAGACGTGTTAAGGTTTGGAAAGTCTTAGGTTTCAGGCTGCTAGTTTTGGGCTTGGGGTGCTCTGGTTCATACGGCCTTACATAGGGCTTAGAGTGGCATAGTGTTCACGGCCTATTTAGTGTCTTAGGTGTCAGGCTTGCATGTATGTTGGGTGTGGGGCATTCGGGTTTATCTGCGTCGGCTTGTCATGGGTGCCCACGTAGATTCTGAATTCTGGGTTTCAGTGAAGTGAATGTGGCTTGGAACAGTCAGTGCAACAAAGTTTTCGCAAGGGTGCTGAAGCCGTTCGAGACCGGGAGTTTTAATGCTGTGCAACCTACCTAGGCAACCTAAACCCTGAACCCTAAGCCCTAAACCCTAAACCCTAAACCCTAAACTACACAAAATTGTTGGCTTGGGTGGTGGTCGTCTGGAGAATCACTTAGGTCCGAACCCGGAGTCTCCATGAGTTCCGTGCGGGTGTGGAGTTTAGGATGCTGGGGGGTGGGTCCCCACATGGGGGTTTCCGAAAATAGGGGACCCTAATATAGTACCCTAAATAATAGGATCCTTAATATAAGGACCCCAAAATAAGGTACCCCTAATTTTCGGAAACTCCCACATCTCCCATGAGGTATGGCGCAGGTGGCTCTGCAGCATTACAGGGTGCAGCAAGCGGCATCCTTTCTCCGGCAAGCGCGCATTTGGACATATTTGGCTTGTTCCAGCAGTCTCCCTTGTCTTTCCCTTTTTGGTTTAACCAACCTCGCATTTCGGGTCCTATAAGATAAGTCCAACAAGGAACTACAATGGAGACTATAGATAGGAGCTTTGTGCCTTGGTGTAGCAGCAACTTCCAGGGGCCCTGCGAGTCAAGCCGCTAGTCACAGCAAACTTGAAGTAAATATGCCGGGGGCTTTCTGACAAAGTGCACCTTTCAATTGATACCCGCATCTTACAGAGCGACTGGCCATTTAACGTGCATCTTTACTGATAGTTACACCGGCGGCGGTGGTGGTGGTGGTGGCAAGTTGAGGTGGTGGCCAACCCATATTGTTGGGTTGAAGGTTAATGCTTTCCGCCGTACGACCTCGCCAGAAGTCGAATGTTGAGAAGCGATGGAGCTGGTCAGCATCGTTGTCATTGTCAGCAGTTACATAGCAGTACTGCTGCTCTGGTCATGTTTTCGTGTCCTTAGAGGTCGGCGTTGGCATATGTATTATCGGGTTCCCTCCTACATGCGAAGCCACAGCTGCTCCTAGGTCGTCGCCTTGTTCGGCAAGCGCTATCCGGACTTGCCAGACAACTTGCCGGACCCGCCGTGCTTATAGCACGAAGTAGAGCCGGTGCATAGTTCACATCTACCACGGGACCCTTCGCGGCGGGGGTCACTGGCCCAGACTACCCCGGAGGACCCCAGGCTGTAAAGCGATTAGCTCAGCCTTCGTTTAGATTGCTGGAAAGACAGCCTCCGCATTCTTTTTTTCCCTTGGGCTGAAGAATGAGAGCCTGAAATTCAATGGGCTGTGTTACTGTCTCACCATGCAAGGGGCTTAGGCAGGCTCACGCTTGGATGGGTGCAATTGTAGATTTCAGCGCCGCAGGCTATTCAAATCCCTGGTTCCGAAACCTCACATTACTAAAAACATAGCAATAATAATCAGAACGACGATATGACAACCACAATCATAACAAACAGCATTAGGCAGTCCCGCTTCTCGACTCTAGGCGTGGATCCGTCCTTTGCCAGAACATGGCTGAATGATGCAGGGCTGTCCTTTCGGTACTCTCTCTCAGGGCTTTCGTAGAGAGACTCGGTATGAGGCCGTGCTGATTTCCCTGAAAGGACAGCCCTGAGTTATGCTGAGCAATTGCTCAGCTTTGTAGGACGCCAGATAGCTGCTCTACACTTTAGCTTGGCACTGCAGTCACAGAAAGTATCCTGCCCCGTTGGGCACGGATCAGTCGAGGGAGTGATGTGTAAAGGGGTCCCGAAACTCACCCCGGTACCATTGTGCCGAGCATTTCGCGCCCTATCACAACATAGCATCCCTGTCTAAAGCCCTTTAAAGATCACGAATCCTGCAAGTAAAGTCCTTATACCTCTGGCCTTTTGAAGTCGCGAGGTCCAATCTTGCGACGTACTTCGCGCGGCCCGGCCCTCGGGTACTTCGTCGTGGTTGGGGAGCTTCAGGGTGACATGTGGGAGTTTCCGAAAATAGGGTACCTTATTTTTGGGTCCTTATATTAAAGATCCTACTATTTGGGGCTGCTATATTAGGGTCCCCTATTTTCGGAAACCCCCATGTGGCTTCCAGAAGAGTCGAGTAAATGGTACTGCAAGGGCCCGTGTAGCTTAGATTGCTATACGCAGTATGATGTAGAAGACGGTTGTGGGTTCTGGTAGGTTGTACGATTTCAGGGTCTAGTCTAGGTTCCGTAAGGCTTTATTCCGTAAGACTCTACCCACCCAAACCTGAAAAACCCCAAGCGTTGAGACCGGAGTCTCCTATCACGCAAGCTAGATACTCAGCGCCGGCCCCATACCCTAACCCTCCAGGTACCTACTATATAGGTGCTTAGAGGCTCTGGGACCCTATATAGTAGGTACCTGGGGGGGGGGGGGGTTAGGGATATCCTAATCTTGCCCAAATCTTTCTAAGCCCAAAAGCTCTCCAACCCGGTTCAAAAGAAGCTTGAAGCCTCAAACTTGACTTCAACTTGGCGTTCTTCTGGTTGGCTCTTTAGACTTTAACTTTTTGGGTTTCTATATGAACTATAATATCTAGGCTAAAAGTTTAACTTTTAGGAGGGGTTCAGAAGTAGGCCAAGTCAACCTTGTAAACCTCTAGCCTGTGAGAGAACTTTTTGCCCGAAGCCCTGCGCAGCAAAAGTCCCTACGGGAGTGCGTACTCTGATCTTAAACTGAATCCCTCACTAAGCAGGGAGCTTCGGAAGCCGGGTTACAAGAAGGAGAAGACATGGGATAATGTCTGTATTTGCATTACAACCACTACTCATCATGTATAATCATGAGGTAACTTCTAACTTCTAACCATACTCACCAAGTCCCCCCCCCCCTCAGCAAAGCAGTAAATCCACAGCACCCCTCCCAAGTGCAGCCTTATAAAAAGGACCCGACAAGGAACCCTAATTTAGAGAACTACCCATATAGAGCCCGTTATAGTACCCTTATAGAAGCCCCTTATAGATCCCTTTAAGGAGCCCTAAACGGGACCCTCACTTAGAGAACTGCTCATATAGAGCTCCTTAAAGTACCCTTGTAGTAAGCCTTATAGAAATCCTTATAGATATTTTCAGCCGACCCGACAAGGAGCCCTAATTTAGAGAACTACCCATATAGAACCCCTTATAGTGCCCTTCTAGAAACCCTGATTATAGATCCCCTTAAGGAGCCCTAAACCCTAAACCCTAAACCCTAAACCCTAAACCCTAAACCCTAAACTAACCCTATGGGGGACCTACCTTGGAGAACTGCGTGTAGCAACGCCCGAGGCCAACCAAAAGCACCTACCGCTCGAGCGCGGCCTGGGCTCTGAGGCCGGTCACAGGGGGGTTTAGGTTTTAGTAGGTTTTAGTAGGGTTTAGGGTTTATTAGGGTTTAGTAGGTTTAGGGTTTAGGGTTTAGTAGGGTTTAGGATTTAGGGTTTAGTAGGGTTTAGGTTTTAGTAGGTTTTAGTAGGGTTTAGTATGATCTAGTAGGGTTTAGTAAGGTTTAGTAGGGTTTAGTAGGTTTTAGTAGGGTTTAGTATGATCTAGTAGGGTTTAGTAAGGTTTAGTAGGGTTTAGTAGGGTTTAGTAGGGTTTAGGGTTCAGGGTTTAGGGTTTCGTAGGGTTTAGGGTTTAGGGTTTGGTAGGGTCTAGGGCTTAGAGTTTAGGGTAGGGTTTAGGCATCTAAGACGACATCTGGTTCCCGGATTTTCTCCGCGGAGCTTTCTTATGATCCTCGCACTCACCAGGTTTCGGCCGCTGTGATTACCCTAGGCCCTTGTTTTTGTTTGAAGATTCCCGGCCTTAGTGTGGAAGATGTAGGTTTCGAAGAGATTTTCCGGAGCCGTTATTCTAGGCCTGTGCTCCTGGCTTCTCGCAGTAGGGCACGGATGGTTTAGCGGGGGGTTACCAGGTTCTGATGTGCCATCGCCAACCTAGACCCTAAATTACACCCTAAACCCCAAAACCCTAAACCCCTACACCCTGAACCACAAAAACCTAAACCCCAAAACCCTAAACCCTAAGCCGCTAAACCCTGAGCCCCTAAACCCAAAACCCTAAACCCCAAACCCTGAAACCCTATCCCTAAACCCCACAACCCTGAACCTAAACAACCCTAAACCCCAAAACCCTACACCCCTAAACCCCCAAACCCGAAACCCCAAAACCCTACACCCCTAAACCCCAAAACCCTACATCCTGAACCCCTCAACCCCAAACCCCAAATCCTGAACCCTAAACCCTAAACCCTAAACCCTAAACCCTAAACCCCTGAACCCCTGCACTCTAAGCCCGAAGCCCTAAACCCCCTTTTCTTTAATCGGAAGGGCCCAGGGCGGCTCCTTAAGGACGAAAATTAGGGGCCCTATACCCTTATACTCGTACTATGAATCCCAAAATGGTATATGAACCCTAAATCCTTTTAGGGCCTTATGCTATGAATCCCTATATGGTATATGAACCCTACACCCTTTTAGGGCTCTTTTCGTCTTTAAGGCTCTTTGCAGGCAGATGGACGACCGCTTTTCCATACTTCGACCCGACACTGCCGGCCCGGCAGAGCCTTGAAAAGGCTAGGCTTCAGGGTTTAGGGGTTATGGGGTTTTTGGTGTAGGGTTTAGGGGTTAGGGTTTTTGGTGTAGGGTTTTGGGTTTGGGCGTTTTTAGTGTAGGGTTTAGTAGGGTTTAGGGTTTAGGGAGTTTGAGGGCTTAGGGGTTCAGGGGTTTAGGGTTTGTGCGGCTTGAGGGCCGAAAGTCTGCGGACTTTGGGCGTATTGCATTAACCCAGAGACTTGAGGCCGTTGGACTTAAGAAGGTCACGGTCAGGTAGGTTTAGGGTTTAGAGTTTAGGGTTTAGGGTTTAGGGTTTGGTCAGGAGTTTGGCCCCAGATGTTATGCTAGAGACCTACAGGTTCTGCCAGCAGGAGCTGATCTTGCTTTTGGGGATCCGGGCTTTTTATCATGGGTTTAGGGTTTCGGGTTTAGGGTTTAGGGTTTAGGGTTTAGGGATGGTTTGAGGAAAATTCCAGCAGCAAAACCGTAAGGTTTCCTTATGCCATAGTATGCCATAGTCTTCGTCTTAGCAGGCATTACTTGCTGGTGCTTCCAACGGTCTAGGCCTTCAAGCACCCCTCAGAGGGCCAAGTGACACGCTCAAGCATGCATTGAGCTGGGGAGTAGCAGTATATCAACCGTCTCAATAAAGATGGTTCGGGGGTCTGGATCGTTAAATTCCCCTGGATATATCGACACCACACCAACTGCCCTTTCCAGAAACTCCAAGCCTCCGACGCTTGAAGCAATCAGCAATTCTATTACCCGAAACCTGACAGTAGCACCCTTTTTAGAATCCTGGCCTGGGCTACACCAGGCCTGAAACCCCAGACGGAAACGACAACCCCCGCAAAACATGAGGCCATTCTAGGCCGCACACTCCTTAGATCTTGAATCCACATCCGCATTCCCTGCAGATGAATTAAGCCCTTAAACAGCAGGCTCCGAAGCCTAAAGCCTAATCCCCAAACCCGAAATCCGAGTCCCAATCTGTCTATCTATCTCTTTCGCTCTATCTCTCTACCTCTCCATCTTTCTATTATCTAACTATCTACATATCTATCTATCTCTCTATCTCAAACAATCAATCAATCTATCTATCGATCTATCGGTGAATCGATCTATCGACCTATATCTATCGATCTATCTATCTACCTATCTGCCTATCTATCTATCTATCTATCTATCTATCTATCTACCCTTCTATTTATAATCTATCTCTCGATTTATCTATATGTGGATACCACATACGGGGATCCGACCACAGATAACAAGTGCAACAATCCCTGAACATCTTCACTTTCAACAGAGCCTCAACATGTTGAAGCCTCGCCAGGTAGTCCTCGATCTTGGCTGCTTCCCTGGTGGCTGGTCTGAGGCCATCTGAGGGTCATTAATTCACTTGGCTCATGTTTTCGGAGGGTTCTGCATTGTTTGGGCAAGTTGGTGTTTGAGGGCTTCCTCCAACAACTCGCAAACCTGACCTTCAAATCCTAAGTTGCAAGCTCCAAAACCCAACTGGGGAGTCTCTGCGAAGGCTCTGTAATTCGGGTCCCATCTATCTTGGGGGTGTTCCGGTCCTTCTAACAAACGTGCCGCAGGCCTCGAGCAATTGCAGAGTCTTTGCAATGTTGATCCGCAATCCCTGAAACTGGAATCGCAAACGCTTTGGGCTTTAGTTACATGGCTTTTGGGTCCGGTTTTGGTGTTCAGGATGTAATGTGGACGGAAGCTGAAGATCCGTTTCAGAAATGCACGCACAGTCATTTGACGTCCCCAGCAATATCCGTACCTTGTTTGCCCCCCCCCGTCCCATTATGTCTGAGTTGCATGATAACGGTTATACAATAATCATGGCTTGGTTACCGGAACCCAAAACCCAAAACCCAAGATCCTAAACCCTAAACCGGGGAAGGTAGCTGATGATCAAATGCTCGGGCTTAGCATGGTCTTAAACCCTATTAACCCTAAGCCCTGCGAGGCTGCCAATGTACGGGCCTAAATAGTTACCTATAC